ATCCAGTTTCAAATAATGACAACAAGAAATCTAAGTCAAAGAAAAATAAATCCCTTTGATACCTGATTGTTTAAATGAACTAACCTTTTTACCCACAAACCGAAAAGGTCGATCGACATCCTTTTCGGGAAACAAACCAGCATATCGGGGTTCTCTCTGAGATGTTATGCCATGATAAGATGTGATGGTCAGTAAGTCCACCTTTCTTCCTTCACAGGTCAAGCAAATGGTTTCCCTTTTGTAGTAGATATCATCAAGGCGATGTCCTGGAAACAATACACATGTTTTTTAATGATCAATATGAAGGTGTAGATGAAACTCTTGCGAAGTCTAGTTGATAAAATACAAGAGCACAAGATAGATGACCCAAAAATAATTTGATATGTAGTTACAGCACTATAATTTCTTCATTCCCCCAATCCTTAACATTCTCTAATTTTATTCTGACTTTTTTCACTTCTTCAGAACTCTAAAATTTCTGAATTCCTTTAATTTTCTCTCACCCTCCATCAGAGCTTCAATTGAGATTTTTTTCTTTTGACGATTGTGACATTTGCTGAACTGTGGACAAAATCTCCACTTGTAGGGATTCATATTAAGGAAAGGGGCCTTCTGAAGTCATTTTCTTGCTTTTTCAAATGGCAACGGCTAAAATTCCTGAGCCAACATACCACTCGCAAAATTTCCTGACTTCTTCATATTGCCGTCAGTTTCCTGCCTTTGAAACTGCCGGAAACCTTTGACCGTCAACAGGAAAGAAATCTCACTGGGTGGGGTAATTTTGTTTTTAAACGTCTATGGTTCACAATGTTTTCTTTTCTTCTTTGATCAATCAAAAAGTTTACTGCCAATTATACACGAGGGTTGAGAATTTGATTTTTTTTTCCTGGCTAGGCAAGTGTCTGGTAACGCAGTAAAAACTGCAGGGCAGAATCAAGTTTGCTTCCTTTATCACTTTACACCTCTATATTAGCAGCTGAAATAACTTAAAATTCAATTTTGTGATTGGCACATAGAATTTGTGTCACTTAATGCACTCAACTCCATCTCTGCTGTTCCCATAAAATCTTTGAGCATAGCATGGAGCTGAGAAGGAATGGCTGATTGTTCCTTTAGGGAACGGAAAAGTATGCTAAATCTCTGACTTTTGTGCTGCTCTCTTCTTATTCTTACAAGTGCGCAATAAACATGTAATTTTCTCCCAGGAGATAAGAAGTATTGCAATACATGTAAAGAATTCATGCAACAAAGAAAACTTACTTTGGACCTTCTCCTTCTTCTCAATTTTTCGAGATAAATCGATACGTTTGTTGATGGATTTCTTAGTTTTCTTGAGCCTTGGACCGCGTTCTGTTGAGAAAAAAAAAACAGTTGAGACCAGAAACCAAAATTTTTAATAAAACATGTTGAAGCTAAAAAAACAAACGGGAAAAATAATGCTGTACTTGGTTGATCTGAATAAATAGAAATGACTTTGGCAAAATAGATTTTAATATACCTGAACCTTATCAGGCACTTGAGTTCAACTTAAATATTTTTTCACACTTCACCTTGAACAGGGAAATCTGAAAAAGGGTGTCAAAAGACTAGGCAGGAGAGTCGCCTCTTTTTACGGGACTTCCCCTGAAAAAAATAATCAATACTTCAGACTGACCGGGATAAAACACAGAAATATTAATAAAGTTTCAATGCTTGAGAATTCAAATGAAAAACAGTTTACTTACCGGTTGACTTTAGGAATCTGATGTCAATGTTTCTCAGGCTTGCTTGCAAATCCGTGTATGAGAAGGGATAAGTGAAAGCAAAGTATGTTATTGCACGTAAATTTTCAAGAGTTCGGTACTTCCAACTGACGGTGAAAATGTTATCCTCCATCTGGCATAAAATAAAAATTGATCAGTTGAGCAACAGTATATAAACATATACAGAATTATTTAAACAGATAAAATTGTATAAAAATCATATTGGGTGCATTGCAAAAGTCTACAATTTATTCTTAGACTTACAATTCGCATGGTCTGTATCGCCCTTTTTCAAATATACTGCATTAGAGGGGCGGTTATTCTTAGCAGCTGGCAACCAGGTTTGCCTAAAAAGGGATGTAAGAAAACTTTACTTGAATAAACAAACGATCTTGCAACCTTTTTCTCACATATGATTGAAATCATTTCTGAGAATTTGTTTCCTACTCATTTCTTCGTACAATTCCTTCGATGCGGGTGTCCGGAATTTGATATATTTTCCTTATAAACAGAAAACACAGAGCGAATTGAACACAAGAATATTCTCCGTTTCTGNCCCAACCCCCAACCTGGAGGACCAGGGTTTGATTTTGGAGTACCGTCTCCTAGACAGGCTGCTTTCACCACAGCTATGAGCCCTGTCTGCCCCTCTGATGAGTGGTTCATACGCCATGAAGCCGGTGACCACCTCCACCCCCCTTTAAGGCAGGGGCTACCAGCTGGGGTCCGCAGGCTTGCTAAACCTGTGACAGTACTGAGTACAGTCCCCCATACGGTTAATTAACGGTTAATTCGGTTAATTCTCCGTTTCTGAATGGAACAATTATTGCAAGATTTACGACACAGGAATTGAATCTGCTGAAGTGTTCGAATGGGAGATACTGTCCAAAGACATCTTAAGGCAGAGAATTTTTATACATTGAAATAGATGATTTCCCACTTCTCTTTAATTTTCCATAACAAAGGAAAATTATGAAAAACCTCTGCTCATCAAGCACTTTCATATCAACGACGAGACTGCAAAAACGCATACATTGATTGAGGTGTTTCAAAATTTTTGCTCTTATTTCGTTTTATGAGGGGAAACTGAATAAGTAATGACATCAATTTTCACAGAATATCCTTCACTCAGAGAAGAAAAATCACCACTTTCTTGAGGAAATAATGTAGAGTAGTTTTTTCTTTAGAAAATCAAGTATGACAAGAAGTCTGCACGTCCACAATCCGAGATGTGAGTTTCTGCAGTATCAACATCAATATGAAGCAATTACATTTTTTTTAGAAAATTTTCCATTAATGATTAGAGAGAGTTGGTTTCGAACAAGAGAAAAGACTGGTAATTGGAACATTTCTTTGTCGAGTAACATGTTTGACATTCCAATTGATTTTGATTTAATGACCATAAAAATTTCCTCATTATGGTAGAACCTAGATATCACAAGTTTTTTCAGCATAGGCGGTCAGCCGTCTTCTGACAAAATCTTGTTCGTTTAAGAATCATTTCCAGCATCTGTAAATTTTTCAATAACTTTTCCTGAACTCGATTTCAGCGAAGAAGGAATTTGAAGCAATCTGCTTACCGAAAAAGTAGGACGGTCCCGTATTCTTTCCCAGTGTAACTTGCCAGGCGATGTACGCGTGACAGGTGCCATTCCTTGGCTGTACATTTTGCATTGTCGATTGAGATTCACGACATTCAGTTTCACAGTGGCAAACGGTACACCTCCTACATAGATAGATTAAATTTTAAAAATTGTAATAGTTCATTAGAAAAAATGATCCTAGTCAGTGGCGATTTTTGCGTGTTTGTTAGCAGCACTGATTTCCTTCCATTTCAGTGTGTGTAAAACAATTGATTCTAAGTAAGGCAGGCTGCCTCGTCTACAGTGGATATTTAAAATGGATATGAATGAAAGAAAAACTGGATGTATTTTTATCAAACAGAACTATGTGCATTAAGCCATGAGCCCTGAGACCCATAAGAATGTGTAGAACAGGGCTCACGTCATAATGCACGAAAGTCCGTTTGCTAGAAATACTTCCAACTGTGTTGCCAACATACAAAAATCGTAACTACCTACCTTAGACCGTGAAGGAACATTTTTTAGGAGAGCACTTTACCTCAGGACGAGTTGAAAAATTTGAACTAGTGTTTCTGCAGAAAAAGCACTTTAATTAAAGCAGAAGAAAATATTGCAAGTAGAAGTTTATGCAGCTTTTCCTCGAAGCAATATTCTTTGAGCTGCAAACTTAAAACTATGATACTTAAGAAGTAGTTAATTTTGACAAATTCGTCACTGAGATCAATAAATTGATTCTGAAATCTTTTCATGAGACTACTTGAAAAAAAAAAAAAAAAAAAAAA